CAGAACAGCTACATTTTGATATATACTTGTGCAATGTTCAATTGAAATGTACTGTAAAGGAAAGAAAACATACAGTAATCTGTGGAAGAACAAGGCAGGGATCATCTTTTCAGTTTGTGTCAATGGGGTTTTGTTTGATGTCTAGGTCATTGCAGCAGCTGGAATGGAAATAGTTAAGATTTGTATTTAAAAAAAATGAACATGAGATTTAGGTAGAACATCTAAAAATAACTGTTCTTAATGTTGCTACGGAGACCTCTATTATAGCTATTGTATTTTATGTGCATCGATTATACTGCACATAGGCAACATTTTTATTTCAGACCAGTAGCAGCTGGCAGTGCTCCCACCTGACTGAGATGGTACGTGGGATCACAGAGGTCATGGAACAACAGAGATGAGGTTTACTCTGTTTTCTGTCTCTTAAAAAAAAAGCAAAAACGTGTAGTTTCGTACTCGACTAGCAGCCTTTTTGCGGTATATTCCTTATTTAATACATTTCGCCTCATCCATAAGAAGTGCTGATGAGGAGTGCAACTGGATTGATAGATGTGGAAATCCTACTATAAAAATAAGTGACATAATTTATAAAGAATTTATGAATCAGTAGTTTCAGTGCACAGCTTTGGAATATTTAAATAAAAGGGAAATATCCTGTATGGACTTCATTGAGGATTTTGTTTGTCTTTAAGTCTAGTTGATTAGGCCACAGTTCTGAAGGCAGAAAATCTATTGCTAGTGCCCATAAAGTAACATGGGCTGCTTCTTTAAAAATATTTTTTGAGAAAATGCTGTAGAAAAAGAAAGCTGTTAAATGAAAATCTTGGGGAAAAAAAAGTTTTCATTACCATATTCTAAGCTGCACCTATGCCAATAAAAACAACTGTAAATGGAATTGCAGCCCTCACAGAACTTCAGTTTCACTTTTTATATGACAGTTTTCATTTTCTTGGCTCTTTTTAATATTGACTTGGATTAAATAACCTTGTATGGATGACAAATTTTTGCAGAAATTATTCAGGAAGCCAAGCTTCTTTAGGGCTTATTTCATAGAAGTTTTGAATTTCATACTGAAAATATTTACTTCAGTTTTTCCATTTGTTAGAGTGAGAGCTCAATAAGCAAATTCAAATAGAAGTGTATATGCTGCATTTCAGGCAGCTGTGATTTGAGACATGCTTCTAAAATTATTGGAATAACTAAAGTTGTAGGTTGGTAATTGGAGGAATTCATAAATAATTTGCTGAGATACTGAGGAGAGCAGAGAAGTTCCTCGCTGTTTTTAACATGCAGACTAGAACTCTATCTTCCTAATTGATTCAGTATTCTTCTAAATAACACTGAGTGACCAGAAAAATAATGGGAATTGAACAGAATGAAAACTACGGGGATATATGTGAGTTTTGCCCTCTGTTTTAATGAAGTTATGTGAATACCACCTGCTTCAAACGTGAAAATTATTCCTAAGTTGAAATGAAATGACATGATTTTTTATGCCTTTGTACTTTGAGGTTGGAAATGACAAACGCTGATTTAACACATACTTCTGTGAGAGGTTTTTGTCTACTTTTTTACTGATACTCTAAAGATTACAGAAAAAAATACTAATTTTTCTTCTTGTATTTTGATAACTTCCTGTATGTACTAGAGAGCATCTGGCCTAGGTGACTCCTTTAGTTCATACCCCTGAGGTGTCTTATGCACAAACAGCTAGAAAGCACTCAAAAAATAGTATGCTGCAATATTGATACTGAACTTACATAAGGCTAAGTCTCTCTGGCATTACATAAATAAAACAGCCATCAAAGTTACAAAATGTTTGTGAAATCATACCAAAAAATGCTTCTGTCCTTTTAAGTGATACTTTTCATGTGTGAAACACAAGGTGATATATGAGTGGAAACTGAAGAGATGAGTTTACAGGTGAATTTAAACTTGGCTTGGGTTTCCTTGCTTCAAACAAGTTCTGAACAGAAGCAGCACAGCCTGTAGTACAAAATCAGACAATTAAACTAACAAAATAAAGAAATTGTAACATTACACTTTTTCTGCTAATGGGATTTATATAGATTTCAGTAATATAGCTATTTGTCTTATATAGCTTATAGTTATCTAGGTGGGACTGCTCAGATTGCAGTGGGCTTTGTAACTACTGGTATTTTTCATTAAATCTGCTCTTCAGGCCATATCCTTCAGACAAACTACCTTTGTGCAAAAATACTTTGTGAAGGCAATAAAACTATCTAGTTAAAGATTAGTCATGTGAGTACTCATGTTCTATCTTTTCAGACCTTGAATAGAAAAGAATCAATACAGCCAAAGGAAGGTTGTTATGAAAACAGGAAAGTACAGCAACAATAAAAGGTAAATTAGTCCTTTTGTTTACTCTTCTGTAGCTAAACACTAATAGAAGAATCAAGCAAGAGGCCAAACTACTTTGCTCAAGTGGACTTAAGTTCATATAAGGAACTGAGATGAAATAACCATCTTTCAGCCTTTCAAAGGGAACTAAGTAAAATATTTATTTACTTTAGTACTCGTCAGACTCATCTCTAAAGTATACTTTTGCTTTTCCATATTTATTTCTATTTAAAAATGCCTATTCAAAAGCTTTGATTCCTGTACCAAGTTCTTCTTATGTCAGTTTAAACTATCAAGTTGGAGGAGGGCCTGTCCAAAGAGAAAACGAATTGATCTCTCCAGATATATGCAAAAGTTTCAGCTCAAAAATGTGTACACACGTGTCTAGATGGACAGCTCTTATGTGTCACTAGGGTCACTAGGCACAGGGATGCCGTTAGGCACTGAGAAGCCTGTGGAGTGGCAAGGAAAAGGCATACCTGTGTACTGCAGGTACAAGCCCACATGTTCTTACATGGTGGTCAAACACTCTGTAGTGCCTTGATATCACATGTGAAACCTTGAGGTGAAAAGAGAGGCAAGAGTAAATAAAAAACAAATCCCAGAATCCTCATTTTCCAAGAATTTTCTGGATCTGGGCTAAAATTTACGAGATACTCCCTCTGGTTTGAAGGACAGGTACAGATTCCTGTCCTGTTGCAGTTGTGTACTGTTCCCTTGTTTTCCATTTCTTTGCAGGCGTGCCAGCGTTGGCACACGTGGGTGTTAGTGAGCAGCAGGAGAAACGCAAGAGCTGCCACAGCACATCCCTGATCTCAGACCTTCAGCCTGGGCAATTGGATTAGTATCTGCACAAGTCAGCACTCTGTGGAGACCAAAGGAGCTTGTTCTTGGACTATTAAAGTGCCAGGCAGTCCTGACCTCGCCACCCCTTAATGGCTATTAAGGCTAATTAGCAGCCTAGACACTGCTGAAGGAGGAGGAGACCCACTGCTTGGGTCTGACCTTGCTGCAGGAGCAATAACCTCCAGCAGAAGAGAGAGAGCTTCTCGCCGGGCCAGATTTGGCAGAGCTGCTGCGGACGCTAACGAGGCAGAGGCGACGAACTGCAACTGCGCTCCCTGACCGCAGAAACGGCAACGCGGCCGCGTCTCGAGCTGCGAACCAGCCAAGGACCTGCCAACCTGCGTGCGCAACCACACGTCCACGAAGGGCTAGTGATGCACGCAGCCTCACAGGGCCCCTCATCGCAAAAATTCATCTCAGAATTGTCAAATCTTTACCCACCAAGTCTTGACACGAATTAAAAATTGCTTTTGGATGCAGTTTCTTGAAGACCCTACGCCAGCCAGAGGCTGCTGTGGACTAATCAAGGAAGTGAGCCAAGTATTAAAAAGATCTGGGGTTGTGCAGCATCACAAATATATTGATCATAGTGTAATTACACTTGAAATGTATTAGGGAAGTAGCTAAAATAATTTCAGCTCTGGCAAGGATGATTTGGGAGCATGCAGGATGGCCAGCCCCACAGAGGCTGACTGGAATTCTTATGATGAATAATTCTTATGGTGAATCTGCTTCAGAATATTTGAAGAAAAGGTACTTAATGAACACGAATGACAAATGTGATAATAACTACCCCAAATATAACACTTTCTAAAGATTAAGTAAGGTAGCATTTACATAAATACTAGATGTCAGTGAAGTGAGTGCAGTAAGAAGCAAAATATTAGTGACAATTCTCAGCTGTGTCTTTGAATTAAAGAACTGATCCTGGACTTAAGATATTAAGACAGACAAGAAATAACCCATCTTTAGTTCCGAGTGGATACTGGTAATATAGAAAGACTGAATTTGTTAGATTTAAATTTAAAAAAGGTCTTTTTTTTAATCTTTGAAAAAATATCTCAGAGCTAAAGTTGCTAAGTGTGGGGAATCTTGTTTCATGTTATAACAAAAGCCAAGGTCAAGTGAGATAGTAACAGAATCTCTCATTGAAAGACAGGATACTTTCAGCTTTAACGTGAGCCTTTTGAAGTAAATATCCAATGTACCTGTTCATCTAAAATGTTAAGTTCTTGATTAAATGATTTTAAAATACTTCTGATGACAATTAAAGATGAACTTCATCTAAAATAATTGTTTTATTTGGGCCAAACTAAACCTTAGATCAAAACCCTATCTTTCTGTTTTGACATGTCCTGATCCAAACTGTTTGGGCTTAAAGTCAGTAATAATAACCAGCTCAATGCTTTAGTTGTTGTAGGTAGCATTGCAAAATTGTCCACAAGCAATCAGTCAAAATACCCATGCTGTGAGATGTATCACATTAGAGAGTTAAACAAAGAGATGAGTTTAAAAGTCACTTTTTTTTCAAAAGCGAACGTTAATTTGGATGTTAATATTTTTCAGTAGAGTATGTAGATGCATTCAACTCAATGCCCATAGATCTAACAACTGATTTCAGCTGACAATCCACTGGTGGTTAGCTATAGATTTACAGTCTGAATATGACTGAGCTACCCAGACCGTATATTCGTGTACTTAGGAGTGGAAGGATTTAGCTCACGACCGAGAAACTCACTCAAGTGATTTGGACCCCTTTACTGAGCCAGAGGAGATGGGCTGTCATCTGTGCCATGGCTGGGCTCCGAAAGGACGAGACGGATGAGTTTTTCCAGGTGAGCTGAACAGAGGTCTTCCCAGGGGACCACTTGGACCGGGGCCATGCCTCTCTGTCTGCATCATGGGCAGACTCATCCCACAACCTGGCTCTTCAGAATGCAGAATTAAAAATAAAGGGGGACAGGGGAAGGGGAGGGTTTAGACGGCCTCAAAGGAAACTGCATATGCATTGAAGCCTTGTTCTTTTTTACCAGGTTCATTCCAGTAAAATGTACGATCATCTGAGAATAAGATGACATTGTGCCTGAGAGAGTTCCAAATTAGCGCTGTGCTTTTCTTCTTTTATGTATTGTAAGAGCTGGAGCAGGTCAGGTGCTCAGTATCCTACCTGAAACAGTGGATGCCTAAGGACAGTCATAGGAACAAGACATCCCAAGCAGAATGTCAAGAGTTTGGCTTCCAGCAAGCCTGGTACTTAACAGCCCTCAGTGGATTTTTCCCTCATGAATTTACCTAATCACTTCTTAAATCCCGTTTCATGCAGTACCATGAGAACTATAATCTAATTTTGGTCACTAAGACATGTAATATGAAAACAATAGGAGGCCCAGGAAAGAATGAAATCATTTTGCCAACAGATATTAAAAAGGCAGGCAATGACTGGAGTACAACGATGAAGAAAATTGCTAAAACCACTTATTACAAAATAACCCAGTATTTCCTGCTTTGAAACAAAATCTATCATTTAGACTACTTCACAGTTTTGAAAAAAAAAAAAAAAAAAAAAACGATAATAGTTTTTCTAGGCTTGCAATATGGATAGTTCTCTCGTCAGTGCCATGGCATGCGGACTTTAAATGCGGCCTTTTCAACTGCTTATGCTGTTTACTGGTTATCCTATTATACTGGTTATTATCTATTATCTTTTTCGATATACACACACACACACACACACATACATTGCAACTTTTGTACATTATCACTATTCCAATCTCTTGCAAAAAAATGAGAAGTATTTTAAAGTTCTATACACACAGGTCTGCTGCTGTCATCTCCCAAAACTGATATAGAAAGAAAAAAAAAATACACACACTTCATCCTTTCTGTTCTTTCTTATTTAAAAATGGCTGAAATAGTCTGTTTAATGAATCCTTACCTAGTAAAATTGTTTGGAAAAATCAAATTACACATTGGGCCTAAGTTTTGTCTATCCTGCATCCTTTTTAACAGTTCACAGTTATGCAACGAGTACATGGGTGAATGTATTTAATATTATTTTTACAAAGCTTAAGTAACCAAGGTGTAAATTTGTCAGACTGAACATTATTTTCTATTTATTTAGACTTTCATAAATTGTAAACAGCACCTAGCAAACTGAAGTTGAAACATAATTAGCTCTTAGAGGACCTTTTCATTCAAAAATGGCATGAAGAATCACATTTTTTCTCCTCTACCCGACAAATTAATAATTCTTTTCCATCCTTACCTATTTTAGCCTTATTCTGTTTTAAATGTTTGACATGGATCCTCATGGTATCCACGTTAATATATTTGCTGCTATTTCCCTTTTTGTTTTCATTCTCACTGAAAATACACAAGCACACCTGCCTCTGCTTTATAATTTGCCATTAAGAATAATGAAAACATTCCTCTGACAGGGGAAAGATGATTACTCAGCTGAACACTGCAGAGGCTTTTAAACTGTCATGAGGTCCACAAAATGTTCTACATTTCCTGTTCTGCTGGTTTAACGGAAGAATATGTTCTGACATCTGCAACATGACTTCTTTTTTTTTTCTTTTTTTAAACTGGAGTTCTTCCTGACCCAACACCAAGGCTGTTATTGGCTTTCAGAATATATTATTCCATATACGAAAAGCTATTTAGATACAAATCCACAACCTTTCCATTTTTACCACTTATGCCTGTCCTAGACATGGTAAAGACCCGTAACAGAGCACTTCAAATTTTGTGCTAATGGCCTCTCTGGTATTTCTATAGAAATGCTCTGTTAAACACTCATGCATTTCAACTTTCGACCACAAGACCTATAAAAAATTCATACTCTGAATCTCGAATTTCAAACTGTGGCTCTGCATCATTAACACCTTCCAATTGTCCTGTCCCACACACTTAATGAAGGAGAATAGGGAAGATGGGGTTTATTTTCCTGGCATTTGATTTTCTTCTTCTTCTTCTTCTTCTTTTTTTTTTTTTAAAGTAGTTTTGGCTTTTTTTTTTTAAAAAAAAAAAGTAGGGAGCAGCTTGAATATTCTGTTAAAATATAACATTATATAGTAGTATCATGTTTAAGCTAGATGATTAACTAAAAATAGGTTTAAAAAACAGCATTAAGTTACTTTTATCTTAAATTATAGAACTTCTGCTTCAAGACTGAAAGAAAACACTTTCTTTCACACATGGAAGCACCTGGAAAAACAACGTGCAAATGTCAGTAGTGTCAGAAACTCTAGCAAGTTATAGCTTTGATTTGACCTTTAAATGAGTTTGCTGGAGCAGGCCAACGCACTTTCTTGAAGTATGTTTATCCTTTCAAGTTAAAATATGATTATTTCATATGCCACTCTGTAAAACAAAATAGAATATACTGGGTCGTCTGTCTCTCAAAATGCTTAGAACTAATAGTCTGAAGAGTCCCAAACACATGTTTTTCCCACTCCCAAGAGCCTTGCCCTGAATGCTATGTATGTTTTTTTCTTTCTGTCCCTCTTGCTCAATGATTTTTAAAGCAATTTTTATAAATGTCCATTCTTTCTGTAAAAGCAAGTCTTCAGTGGATGCTGCTGGCCTGCCTCCTGTGCAGGATATATCTGCTGCCCTCCTTGGAAGGAGCCCGTGAGCTCCCTCCCACCATCACGAAGCCAGTGAAGTCATTTTTGTTTCTTTTGCTCATATTCCCTTACTTTTTTTAATACTTCACTTACTCAAAAGATGTATTTTAAACAGTAGCAGATATTTGAGTAACAGCACAGCTTCTTAAAACGTCAACCTATGTAATATGTTCAAAATCTGCTAAAAACATCTCTAGTCAACAGGAAACAGAAAAGAGGCTTTGACGAAACCATGGAGCTTCCAAGAGTTGTCAAGTCTTGCCTTGAACCTGCTCCATGACAATTTTAGTGAAAAAAAAAAATAATCTACCTAATTTAGTTTCCAAGAACCTAAATCAACCTCCACGGGGTTGCAATCCCTGTGGAGACACAGGCCACCTCCTGCATGACTGCGACGGAAGACACTCTTGAGCTCGCTCTTAAGTCCCATGTATTTTTATTAAATGTAGATCTATATTTGGCAGTGGCCGAACAGGTGCGCACGGGCCATGGAGCGGGCACGGCGGG